GAATTCCAGGAATCCCAGGGAAACCCGGAATCGGCCCCCGGAATTCCAGGAATCCCAGGGAAACCCGGAATCGGCCCCCGGAATTCCAGATATCCCAGGGAAACCCAAAAATCCTACAGAACCCCAAACATCCCAGGGAAACCCGGAATCGGCCCCCGGAATTCCAGATATCCCAGGGAAACCCGGAATCGGCCCCCGGAATTCCAGGAATCCCAGGGAAACCCAGAATCGGCCCCCGGAATTCCAGATATTCCAGGGAAACCCGGAATCGGCCCCCGGAATTCCAGATATCCCAGGGAAACCCGAAAATCCCACAGAATCCCAAAAATCCCAGGGAAACCCCACGTTGCCCTTCAGAATCCCAAAAGTCCCAGGGAAACCTGGAATCGTCCCTCGGAATTCCAGAAATCCCAGTCAAAACCCGAAAATCCCACAGAATCCCAAATATCCCAGGGAAACCTGAAACTGGCCCTTGGAATTCCAAATATTCCAGGGAAACCCAAAACTGGTCCTCGGAATTCCAGAAATCCCAGGGAAACCCAAAACTGGCCCTCAGAATTCCAGATATCCCAGGAAAACCCAAAAACCCCAGTAAAAACCCACAAAATCCCAAAATATTCCAGAGAAAAACCCCAAATCCCACAGATTCCCAGTAAAACCCCTCAGAATCCCAAAATATCCCACCCAAATTCTGTAAAATACCAGAAAATTCCCTAAAAATTCCCTAAATCCCGCAGATCCCGCTCCCATTAGGGTTTGGATGTTTTGTACAGTTTTTTTTAGGATGGAAAATAAACTTTGGGATGCGACTCGGCCTCGGTGCTGGATCCCAAATTCCCCAATCCCAAAATCCCAGACCCCAAACCCCTGGATCCCAAATTCCCTCATTCCTGGAAAACTTGGGAAGGTCTTGGAGAACTTGGGGGGGTCCTGGGGGAGTCGTGGAAGCCACACGAGGCTCCTGGGGGACAATTTTGGGACAATTCCTGGGTTTTTTTCCCAGTTTATTCCCAGTGGTTTTGGGGGATAATTCCCAGTATTTCTGGGACAATTCCCAGCTTTTTTCACCAGTTTATTCCCAGTTTTTTTGGGACAATTCCTGGTGATTTTGGGACAATTCCCAGCTTTATTCCAGTGTATTCCCATTTTTTAACGATAATTCCCGGTGTTTTGGGGATAATTCCTGAGGTTTTCCCCCCAGTTTATTTCCGGTATTTCTGGGACAATTCCCATGTTTTTTCCCCAGTTAATCCCCATTTTTTGGGACAATTCCTGGCTTTTTTTCCCAGTTTATTTCCAGTGCTTCTGACACAACCCCAGAGTTTTTTCCCCGTTTTTTGCTGGCATTTCCCCAGCCTTTCCCGCCAATTTCCAGGACTTTTCCTGCCATTTTCCTGTTGCATTCCCACCAAATTCCCGTTGTTTTCCCGCCATTTTCCACGACTTTTCCAACCAGATTTTCTCCTTCTTCTCTTGCCAATTTCTCATTGTTTTCCCACCATTTTCCTGTTCATTTTCCTGTTATTTTCCAGTTGTTTCCCCGCCATTTCCTCATTGATTTCCGGCTGTTTTCCTGCCATTTTCCCGTTGTTTTCCCACCATTTTCCTGTTGTTTTCCCACTGTTTTCCATGACTTTTCCCACCGTTTTCCATGGCTTTTCCTGTTGTTTTCCTGCCGTTTTCCCATTGTTTTCCCTTACTTTTCCTGTTGTTTTCCATGACTTTCCCCGTTGTTTTCCCGCCGTTTTTCATGACTTTTCTCATTGTTTCCCGCCATTTCCCCGTTGTTTCCCCGTTGTTTTCCTGCCGTTTTCCTGCCGTTTCCCCGTTGTTTTCCATGACTTTTCCCACCATTTTCCTGTTGTTTTCCCATCCATTTTCCAGTTGTTTCCCTGCCATTTTCTCATTGTTTTCCCACCATTTTCCTGTTGTTTTCCTGCCGTTTTCCCGCCGTTTTCGTGTTGTTTCCCCATTGTTTTCCTGCCGTTCCCCGTTGTTTTCCATGACTTTCCCCGTTGTTTTCCATGACTTTCCCCGTTGTTTCCCCGCCGTTTCCCGTTGTTTTCCCGCCATTTTCCCGCCGTTTCCCGCTGTTTTCCGTGGTTTTTCCGGAGCCTCAGGCGTACTCGAGGCGGGCGGCTCCGCGGGGCTCGGGGCCGAGGCAGTCGCGCAGCTCCAGCTCCATTTTCTTGGCCTTCAGCGCCGCCGAGTGCAGCTTCTCCAGGAATTCCGGCATCCCTGCAATTCCCGCCGGGCCCGACCCCTCTTTTCCCAGATTTTCCCATCTTTTCCCCATTTGCCCCCAATTTTTTCCTTAATTTTCCCCATTTGCCCCCAATTTTTTCCTCCATTTTCCCGATTTTCCCCCAATTTTTCCCTTTTCCTTCCCCATTTTCATCCTTTTTTTTTCTTTTCTTTCCACTTTATCCATTTTATACCATTCCCCCCAATTTTTCCTTTTTTCCCCAAATTTTCCCCCTTTTTTCCCCCATTTTCCTGTATTTTTTACCCTTTTCCCCCCCATTTTCCCTTTTCCCCAGTGCAGCTTCTCCAGGAATTCCAGCATTCCTGCAATTCCCGGCGGTCCCGACCCCTTCTCCCTCTTTTCCCAAATTTTTCCCATTTTCTCCCTCTTTCCCCAAAATTTTTCCCATTTTCTCCCTCTTTTTCCCCAATTTTTTTCCCAATTTTCCCCTTCCATATTTTCCACTTTTTCCTTTTCCCCCCCAATTTTTCCTCATTTTTTTCCCCTTTCCTTCCCTCCAATCCCCCCAAGTTTTTCCCTCTCTTTATTCCCTGTTTTCCCTTTCCTTTTCCCCGGGGGTTTTGGGGGAATTTTGGGGATTTTTGGGAATTCTCACCGCTGGACACCATCCAGCTGAGGCAGTAGCGGGGGAACACGGTCTGCGGGTTGTCGCTGTACGTCAGCAGGTAATCGAAGCCGTTCTGGAAAACACCAAAATTCCCAACAATTCCCCAAATTCCCAACAATTCCCAGCAAGAATTCCCTGAAATTCCCCCAAAATTCCTCGGAAATCTCCCCAAATCCCAGCAGAAAATTGAAGCTGTTCTGGAAAACACCAAAATTCCCAAAATATTCCCAACAATTCCCGGAAGTTTCCTGGGGTTTTTCTGTATTTTTCCTGCATTTCCCCCAAATTTCCCCATATTTTCCTATATTTCTCCTGTATTTTTGTGCATTTTTCCCATATTTTTCCTGTTTTTTTTTCCAATTTTCCCCAGAGTTTTCCCGGGATTTTCCCAGAATATCCCCATATTTTCCTGTGTTTTTCCTGGGTTCTTTTTCCCAGAATTTCCCCATATTTTCCCTGGTTTCTTTTCCTGATTTCCCCCAGAATTTCCCCATATATTCCCATATTTTTCCTGGGTTCTTTTCCCAATTTCCCCAGAATTTCCCCATATTTTCCTGTGTTTTTCCTGGGTTCTTTTCCCCAGAATTTCCCCATATTTTCCCTGGGTTCTTTTCCCGATTTCCCCCACATTTCCCTGTATCTTTCCCCAATTTCCCCCACATTTCCCTGTATCTTTTCCCAATTTCCCCCACATTTCCCTGTATCTTTTCCCAATTTCCCCCAGAATTTCCCCGTACATTCCCGTATTTTTCCTGGTTTCTTTCCCCAATTTCCCCCACATTTCCCTGTATTTTTTCCACATTTCCCCACATTTCCCTGTACTTTTCCCAATTTCCCCCCCATTTCCCCCCATCTTTCCCCATTTCCCCCACATTTCCCTGTATCTTTCCCAATTTCCCCCACATTTCCCTGTATCTTTTCCCAATTTCCCCCAGAATTTCCCCATACATTCCCGTATTTTTCCTGGTTTCTTTCCCCAATTTCCCCCACATTTCCCTGTACTTTTCCCCATTTCCCCCACATTTCCCCCACATTTCCCTGTATATTTTCCCAATTTCCCCCCCATTTCCCTGTATCTTTCCCCCATTTCCCCCACATTTCCCCCACATTTCCCCCCCATTTCCCCCACATTTCCCCGTATCTTCCCCCATTTCCCCCACATTTCCCCGTACTTTTCCCCAATTCCCGCACATTTTCCCGGTTCTCGTCCCGAGGATTCCCGGGAATTCTCACCTCGTCGAAGCCGCGGTGGGGCCGGATCACCAGGTGGGATTCGTAGCTGCGCACGCGGACGTGCTCCGGCTGCTCGGGGACCCCGGGGTGCTCCACGGCCCTGCCGGAATCACCGGGAATGGTCCCGGGATTATCCCAAATTATCCCAAAATTATCCCAAAATTATCCCAAAATTATCACACAATCACCCCCGGATTAACGCAGAATTAGCCCGAGAACAGCACGAAATTATCCCAAAGTTATCCCGGAATTATGCCAAAATTAATCCAAAATTGTTCGGGAATTACCCCAAAATTATCCTCAAATTAGCCCAAAATTATCCAGATATTATCCCAAAAATTATCCCAGCGTTATCCTGGAATTATCATAAAATTATCACGGAATTATCCCAGAATTATTGGGAATTGTCCCAGAATTATCCCAGGTTTTTTGGCAACTCCAGAGTGGATTTTTGCAAATTCCAGGTGGGATTTTTTGGGAATTCTGGGGAGGATTTTTTAGGCAATTCCAGGAGGGTTTTTGGAAATCCTGTGGAGCTTTTTGGGGAATTCCAGGGCAGATTTTTGGGGATTTTTTGGGAATTCCAGGAGGGGTTTTGGGAATTCCATGGAGGATTTTAGGGAATTCCAGGGAGGATTTTTTGGGAATTCCAGGGGGTTTTGGGGAATTCCAGGGAGGATTTTTTGGGAATTCCAGGGAGGGTTTTTGGGAATTCCAGGGGTTTTAGGGAATTCCAGGAGGGGTTTTGGGAATTCCATGGAGGATTTTAGGGAATTCCAGGGAGGATTTTAGGGAATTCCAGGAGGGTTTTTGGGAATTCCAGGAGGGGTTTTGGGAATTCCAGGAGGATTTTAGGGAATTCCAGGGAGGGTTTTAGGGAATTCCAGGAGGATTTTAGGGAATTCCAGGGAGGATTTTTAGGGAATTCCAGGGGTTTTTGGGAATTCCAGGAGGGTTTTTGGGAATTCCAGGAGGATTTTTAGGGAATTCCAGGGGTTTTTGGGAATTCCAGGAGGATCTGGGGCCGCACCGGGAGACGAGCACCATCAGCTGCCGCTCGGGGTCGACGCTGTAGCGCCGCACGTAAACGTAATCCCGGGAATACATCGGATACTGCAACGGAACGGGACGGACTGCATCCCGATCCCAGATCCCCGTCCCGGATCCCAGACTGCATCCCGATCCCAGATCCCAATCCCAAACCCAATCCCGGATCCCAGACTGCATCCCAGATCCCCATCCCGATCCCAGACTGCATCCCAATCCCAGATCCCGATCCCAGATCCCAGACTGATCCCAGATCCCAAACTCCATCCTGATCCCAGACTGCATCCCGGATCCCCATCCCAGATCCCAGATCCCGATCCCAAATCCTGATCCCAGATCCCAAATCCCCATCCCGGATCCCGATCCCAAATCCTGATCCCAGATCCCAAACTGATCCCAGATCCCCATCCCAGATCCCAGACTGCATCCCCATCCCAAATCCTGATCCCAGATCCCAAACTGATCCCAGATCCCAAACTCCATCCTGATCCCAGACTGCATCCCGGATCCCCATCCCGATCCCAAACCCGATCCCGGATCCCAGACTGCATCCCAATCCCAATCCCAAATCCCAAACCCCATCCCTGATCCGATCCCAGATCCCAGACTCCATCCCTGATCCCCAATCCCAATCCCAAACCTGATCCCTGATCCCAATCCCTGATCCCGAGCCCAAACCCGATCCCTGATCTCAACCCCAAATCCAGATCCCAATCCCGGATCCCAGATCCCAAATTCCGAATCCCAGATCTCACTTCACCAGGAACTGGGTGACCCAGTGGATCCCAAATTCCCGATCCCAAATCCCCAAATCCCGAATTTCTCACCAGGAACTGGGTGACCCAGTGGATCCCCTTGGATCCCAAATCCCAAATTCCCGATCCCAAATTTCTCACCGGGAACTGGGTGACCCAGTGGATTCCCTTGGATCCCAAATTCCCGATCCCAAATCCCAAATCCCAAATTCCTCACCGGGAACTGGGTGACCCAGTGGATTCCCTCGGATCCCAAATTCCCGATCCCAAATCCCAAATTCCCGATCCCAAATCCCGAATTTCTCACCGGGAACTGGGTGACCCAGTGGATCCCCTCGGATCCCAAATTCCCGATCCCAAATCCCAAATTCCCGATCCCAAATCCCGCGTTTCTCACCGGGAACTGGGTGACCCAGTGGATCACCTCGGATCCCAAATTCCCGATCCCAAATCCCAAATTCCCGATCCCAAATCCCGCGTTTCTCACCGGGAACTGGGTGACCCAGTGGATCCCAAATTCCCGATCCCAAATCCCCAAATCCCGCGTTTCTCACCGGGAACTGGGTGACCCAGTGGATCACCTCGGATCCGGTGGCGGGGTCGCGCTCCAGCACCTCCAGCTTCAGCACCAGCGAGTCCCACTGCTTCCGGTACTCCGTGTCCAGCTGGAAGCCGGGAATTCCGGGAATTCCGGGGGGAAAAATCCCGGAAAAGCCGGGGAAAAAAATCAGGAAATAAATCCTGGAATTCCAGGAAAAACAAGGATCGGGAATGCCAGGAAAACCCAGAATTCCAGGAGAAATGGGATCAGGAAAATCGGGAAAGCTCCAGAATTCCAGGGGAGAATCCCTTCCCCCTCCTCCCCACCCCGAATCCAGAATTTTCGGGAAAAACGGGACCAGGAATTGCCGGGATGGGTTAAAAATGGGAATTTTCCAGATTTTTACTGGATCCACCTGGATTCCCAAAGATTCCCAGCCCTGGAGTCAAATCTCAGCGGGAATCCCCAGGGAGTTTTCAGGATTTTTTTTTTAAATTTTGGGGAATTTTCAGGGATTTTTGGGAATTTTGGGAATTCTGCTCACCTGGACGTTGAAGAATTGCCGGGGAGTGACGTCGGTGTAGGAGCCGAAAACTGCGGGAAAATCCCAAAAATCAGCAAATCCCAAAATCCCCAAAAATCCCCAAATCCCAAAAATTTGGGATTTTCAGGAATTTCAGGGACTTTGGGATTTTGGGAATGGGGGAATTTGGGATTTTGGGATTTGGGAATTCCAGGATTGTTTGGGAATTCTGTACCTTGGTACTGGAAGAGCTCCGAGCCAGGATTTTGGGAATTTCAGGGACTTTGGGATTTTGGGAATGGGGGAATTTGGGATTAGGAATTTCACGAATTTGGGATTTTGGGAATGTGGGATTTAGGAATTTTGGGAATTTAAGATTTAGGAATTTTGGGAATTGCGCACCCCGGTGCTGGAAGAGCCCCGAGCCCGGGATGGGGCGGCGCCAGAGGCGGAAGTGCTCCCGCTCTGGAATTTGGGAATGGGGGAATTTGGGATTTTGGGGGTTTGGGAATTCAGGGATTCGGGATTTCGGGAATTCGGGAATTTGGGAATTCGGGAATTGCGCACCCCGGTACTGGAAGAGCCCGGATCCCGGGATGGGGCGGCGCCAGAGGCGGAAGCGCTCCCGCTCCAGCAGCGGCTCCCAGCCCCGCTCCTGCTCCGGGAACGCCTCGGGATTCTCCAGGCGCTGCAGCTCCTGCGCCGACCTGCGGGAATTCCCAGATTATTGTGGGATCCGGGCGGGAATTCCGGGATTCCGTGGGATTGGGATGGGGAATTCCCAGATTATTGTGGGATCCGGGCGGGAATTCCGGGATTCCGTGGGATTGGGATGGGAATTCCCAGCTCTTATTCCCATCATTCCCGTGGTTATTCCCGGTGTGATCCCGTTATTCCCGGTGTTATCCCGCCGTTATTCCCGGTGTTATCCCGGTGTTCTTCCCGGTATTCTTCCCGTTATTATGGCGGTGCAATTCCCGTTATTCCCGCCGTTATTCCCGGTGTTATCTCCCCGTTATTCCCGGTGCGATCCCCGCTCACCGCCTCAGCTCCTCCTCCTCGATGCGCTGCCCGTCCCACACGAACGCTCCGGTACCGAGCGCCGCCATCAGCCCCGTCCGCCCGCGGGGCCTCCCCCAGCGGCCGCCGCCGGTACCGCCGCCCCCGCTTCCGCCGCTCCCGGTTCCTCCTCCCGCCGCCTCCCCGGTGCCGCCGCGCTGCCGGGCCCGCCGCGCCCTCCCGCAGGCGCGGCGGCGGCCGAGCAGCGCCAGCAGCAGCAGCGGCAGCGGCGCGGGCGCGGGGCGGGCCCCGCCGGCGGCCCCGGTGGCGGCGCCGCGGGCGGCGAGCGCGGCCAGCGGCCGCCACATGCCGGCCCCGCCGCGCCGCGCGTCGCGCTCCTTCCGCGTCACCGCGCGCGCCGCGCCGCCATTGGCCGGAGCCGCACCGCCCCGCGCGCTGATTGGCTGCGAGGGGTCAAACCACGCCCCGCAGCGCGTGATACCGGAAGGGGGCGTGAGGGCGGAGAGGGCGAAACGTGGGCGGGGCTTGGCGAGGCCACGCCCCCCGTGGGCGCTGTGGGGCCTGGGGGGTTTTGGGGCCTGGGGGGTTTTGGGGCCTGGGGGGTTTTCGGCCCCTCGGGCCGACGGGGACCCCGCGTTTCGCTGCCGCGCTCCCATTGGTGCGTGCGCTGCGATGCGATTGGCTGTGGAGGGCGAAGCCACGCCCCCCCGCGCGTGTCGCGGAAGTGGCTCCCACAGGAAGGGGGCGGGGTTTGCGCGTGGCCACGCCCCCCGCGGCCATTTTGGGGCCTGGGGCTTGGGAGGATTTTTGGGGGAATTTTTTGGATCCAGCCCAATTTTTAAGGGATCCATCCCCAGATTTTATAGGATCAACCCCCTTTTTTTCGGATCCAGCCCATTTTCATGGGATCCAGCCCCATTTTTAGGGACCCAGGGTGGTTTGATGGGATCCAGCCCATTTTCATGGGATCCATCCTGGTTTTTTGGGATCCAGGGTGGTTTTATAGGATCCAGACAATTTTTTGGGATCCAGCCCAAATTTACGGCATCCAGCCCAGTTTTATGGGATCCAGCTCATTTTTCAGGACCCAACCCCTCCCCTCTCCCAACCCCGACCCCCGAGTCTCTCCCCACCTTTTAATTCCCAAAAATCCCGCGGCCGATCCCAAATCCCAAAATTCCCGTGTCCGCCGCCCTCCCTCCTCCCAGACTGGGGTTTTTTTTTTGAGAATTCTCTGGAAAATCCCATTTTTCACAGATTTATTCTTTGCATATCCAGGGAATCCCGAAGTTTTTCCCAGTGGATCCCAAATCCCGGGAATTTCCCCCGGGGCCTTTTCGGGTCAGTTCGGCTCCTCCCGAGCCTTTCCCGGGATTTGTTTTTTTCTGGGATTTTCTTTTTTTTTCTGGGATTTTTCCAGGATTTCCATCCCAGGGGTGCTCTTGCATAGCTGGGGGGAGAAAAAATGGGAAAAAAAGGGAAAAAGAGCAGGAAAATTGGGATAAAAGTGGGAAAATCGGGATAAAAGCATCAGGACCTCCAAGGAGCCGGATCCTGGGATTAAAATTCCCTAAAAATTCAGGAGATTCCAAAAAAAACCCTCCAAGCCGAAGCGTGCCGGGAATGGGAATTTTGGTGTGAATTTCAATCCTTACAGGATTTTTTTTTTCCAATTTTTTTTTCTTTTTTGGCCCCAAAAATTTCTGGTCCTTGGCGGGGGTGGAAAAATCAGAGCAGGGAAAATATTGGGAATTTGGGGATGGCAGTGGAGGGATTTGCATAAAAGCTCCGGGGATTTTCCAGCTGGGCTCATTCCGATTTCCCAGGAGGCCAAAATTCCCAAATTTTGTGGGGTGAGGGATGGGATGATCCCAAAAAAACCCCAAAAAAATTCCCAGAGCCTGGAATAAAGTGCAGAATGTCCATGGGGGGGAAAGGGGGAGCAGGGATGGGAATTCCCGAATTTTTAAATAAGGGGATAAATATTCCTGGGAAAAGGGGGTGAGCCGGGCAGGGGCTGGGCTGGGGACTGGGGATCCCAAAATTCGGGATCCGGTGGGAATTGGGATCCCAAGTTCTCCATTCATGGGGATCCCAAAGTTGTCAATGTGTTGGGAATTAGAGATCCCAAAATTTGGGATCCCAAAGTTCTCATTCCATGGGGACCCCAAAGTTCTCCATCCATTGGGAATTCCAAATCCCAAAGCTCTCAGTCCAGGGGATCCCAAAGTTCTCCATCCGTGGGGATCACAGAGTTCTCGATCCGGTGGGAATTGGAGATCCCAAAGTTTTCATCCCACAGGGAATTCCAGATCCCAAAGTTCTCAATCCAGTGGGAATTGGAGATCCCAAAGTTCTCAGTCCAGTGGGAATTGGAGATCCCAAAGTTCTCAGTCCAGGGGTCCCAAAGTTCTCGATCCACTGGGAATTGAAGATCCAGAAGTTCTCAATCCACTGGGAATCTGGGATGCCAGCGTTCTGGATCCGTTGGGAATTGATGATCCCAAAGTTCTGGATCCGTTGGGAATTGGGGATCCCAAAGTTCTGGATCCGTTGGGAATTCGGGATCCCAAAGTTCTGGATCCACTGGGAATTCCTGATCCCAAAGTTCTCAGTCCAGGTGGATCCCACTCCCCTCATTCCAGGGGAATCCGTGGATCCCAATCTCCTCCTTCCAAGGAAAACCCACCTGGAGCAGGAGATCCCAACGGGGTCCGAACCAACCCTGGGATCGAGGCCCTGCAGGAGCTCCTGGGATCCACCAGGAGAAATCCTGCGGGAATTCTGGGACCCACCAGGAGAAATCCTGTGGGAATTCTGGGACCCACCAGGAGAAATCCTGTGAGAATTCTGGGATCCACCAGGAGAAATCCTGTGGGAATTCTGGGATCCACCAGGAGAAATCCTTTCCTGGAAGATCTCCCAGGATCTGCTCCAATGAGTCCTTCCCTGGAAGAACTTCCTGTGTCCATCCAGACCAACACTTGGCTGGAAGAGCTCCTGGGATCCACCTGGAGAAATCCTTCCCTGGAAGAACTTCCAGGACCTGTCCAAAGCATCTTTTGTTGAGAAGAGTTCCTGGGATCCACCTGGTCAAAGCCTCTGCTGGAAGATCTCCCAACATGGCCCCGCCCAACCCTGCCACCTCCCCCACCCCCACGGCGATCCGGCCGCTCGATCCGCCGCCATCGCGGTGACCGGGACCGAGTGACCACAGTGGTGGTGACCAGGATCATGGTGCTGGGATGATGGTGACCAGGATCACGGTCAGTGAGATCGACGCGACCAAGGTCAAGGCCACCACGCGTGATGACCACAATGATGGAGACCATGATCGTGATGGCCTCAACCACGATGACCACGATTGCCATGACCGGGATCAAGGTGACCACGATCTCGATGACCTCAATGATGGGGACCGCGATCACGAAGACCTTGATCACAATGACCACAATCGCGATGACCGAAATCGCTACGACTGTGATTGTGATGGCCGGAATCGAGTGACCAGGATCAAGGTGACCACGATCTCCATGACCTCAATCACGATGACCATGATTGCCATGACCAGGATCAAGGTGACCACGATCTCCATGACCTCAATCACAATGACCACGATTGCGATGACCACGATCTGATGACCTCAGTCATGATGACCATGATTGCGATGACCAGGATCAAGGTGACCAGGATCTCGACGACCTCAATCGCGATGACCACGATTGCGACGACCCACAGTCACGGTGACCGGGATCAAGGTGACCATGATCCCAACGACCACGATCCTGATGACCTCAACCATGATGACCATGGTTGTGATGACCAGGATCAAGGTGACCAGGATCTCGACGACCACGATTGCGACGACCCACAGTCACGGTGACCGGGATCAAGGTGACCATGCTCCCAATGACCATGATCACAGTGACCTCAACCATGATGACCACAATCCTGATGACCTCAATCACGATGACTACGATCCCAATGACCGTGATCGTGATGACCACGATCCCAATGACTGTGATCATGATGACCATGATCCCAATGACTGTGATTGTGATGACCACGATCCTGATGACCGCGATCCTGATGGGATCGAGTGACCGGGATCGAGGTGACCACGATCCCGATGACCACGATCCCGATGATCACAATCCTGATGGGATCGAGTGACCGGGATCAAGGTGACCACGATCCCGATGATCACAATCCTGATGGGATCGAGTGACCGGGATTGAGGTGACCACGATCCCGATGATCACGATCCTGATGGGATCGAGTGACCGGGATCGAGGTGACCACGATCCCAACAACCACAATCCCGACGACCTCAACCGTGACGACCGGGATCGAGGTGCCCACAACCCCGCTGACCACCATCCCGACGACCACGATCCCAACGACCTCAACCGTGCCCACCGGGCGCCGTGCGGCGCCGCCGCGTCCGCCCTCAGGGCGTGTAGGCGGGCGGCGGCTGGAACTGCTGGACCACCTCGTAGTCGGGGCCGTAGGGCTCGGCCTCCTCCATCTCGGAGAGCAGCTCCAGCGCCTGCTCCTCCTCCTCGCTGGGGTAGTGGCGCAGCAGGTTGGCCGCCGTGGCCAAGATGGAGGCGCCGCCCGCGCCGGCCACCAGGTAGAAGCTGACGGCGAAGGTGACGAAGACCTGGGAGCCGTGGTACTTCTTGTGCTGCTGCTGCTGCGCCAGGAGCAGCTCCGACGCCCAGTAGCAGAACCCGATCACCGTGGCGCACTGCAGCACTGGGGAAAATGGGGAAAAACCACCAAAAACATTGGTTAGATTGGGGAAAATGGGGAAAAACCACCAAAAACATTGGTTAGATTGGGGAAAAACCATGGCAAAATGGGTTGGTTTGAGGTGGGTTTGGGTTCTCCAGTAGCAGAACCCGATCACCGTGGCGCACTGCAGCACTGGGGAAAAATGGGAAAAAATATCCAAAAAATTGGTTAGATTGGGGAAAATGGGGAAAAAACATGGAAAAATGGGGAAAATCATGGCAAAATGGGTTGGTTTGGGGTGGGTTTGGGGTTTGGGTTCTCCAGGAGCAGAACCCGATCACCGTGGCGC